AAATGCCCTTGGAATAAAGTCCAAAATGCTTTCACAATACAGGTAACTGGACTCTGTGGAAGATTGCTGGTGCCTCCCTATCCTCTCATGTCCCCTCATCCAGTGATTTTTATATCCCAGACAGAAATCTTTCTGCTCCTCAAATCCCAGGATCTCCCTCTTCCTTTCCTATCTTCCTCCCTCCCTTCCCTCCTTCCTGCCTTCCTCCAAGCCCTTCCCCGCCTAAAACTGATCACCACCCACCACCGCGACCAATTCCATGTTGGCCACATTCACCACTGCATCTCCTGCGTGTAATCGTGCCCCACCAACACAGAGCTAGGAGCAGGGTAAATGTGCTGAATACATCCGTGCTTAGGCTACTGAGGGCTTCTGATGTTCCCTTTGTCCATTTGCTCTTTGCTCTTTCCTGTTTCTCCTTCCCTGTGACCTACACCGCCTCTCTTCTCTCACTGAACCTCATCAGTAACCTCGTGGCTGTTGGAGTTGTCAGCTTTCGAGAGACACACTACCATGTCCACATGTCCATTGCCCTAGGGTTATTCACCAGCAGGGTGATGACTGTTTCATTTTAACCCAGAGACAACTGGAATAGGCCCAGCCCTTTCCAGAAGTAGACAGAAGGCCCCACCGACAGGGGCAGGCCACTTTTCAATCTGAGATTTAATATATAGATGGAACCATAGATCAAGGACCTCTCAGCAGGCAATGTAAAGTCAAAAGCTTCACTACTTCTCTACCCACACAAAGAGTATCACTGTGCTGACAAGATCGATTATCAAAGTTGTGCGTAACTTCATACTTTAAATATGATGGCCAACCTTGCTATTCTAAGAAACCAAATGGCAAATCTTTTCATAAAGCAGATACCTGGGGGATCCCTGGGTGGCGCAGCCTTTGGCCCAGGGCGCGATCCTGGAGACCCGGGATCGAGTCCCACATCAGGCTCCCGATGCATGGAGCCTGCTTCTCCCTCTGCCTGTGTCTCTGCCTCTCTCTCTCTCTCTCACTGTGACTATCATAAATAAAAAAAAATAAAAGAAAATAAATAAAAAAAATTAAAAAAATAAAAAATAAAGCAGATACCTGCCTCAAGTTGAAATTGTGGATAAACGTGATATATTTTCAAATATTGTTTTCAGTAATAACAAAAATCAGAGCTACTATTCATCTATTGAATACGAACTGTTGAGTGGGTGATAACATGCTCAAAGTTTTAAAAACACTCTCTTATTTAATCTTCATCATCACTTTATGAGGTAGAAATGCTTATTATCCATATTTTACAGAGGAAACCAATAGCTCAGTAACCTGCCTCTTAGGGCAGGGCTGGGATTTAAATCATAGGCCTCCAGACTACCACTCTCTATGGCTTCTTTGCTATGTTTTGCTATTTGGATCACCTTTTCATCTGAGAAATCATAGACATGGACATTCCCAAAGAAACAGCCCCTTGGAAGATGACCTCAAAGGCTGAGATTTTTCTTCGCAGTGTAGACATTGAAAGGAAAGCAACCTGCTACATCTTCTATTTCAAAGTATTTCTATCTTAAAAGAGATTCAAGAAAAAGATGTGGGAACAGAGCTCAGGGGTGCTTATGAACACAATTTCACAAATATTTTTTCAGCATCTACCAGCGGTCAGCCACGTGCTGGAAGCTGAATGATCAGACTGTTAGCTAGGAGAGCGCTGGGCAGGGCAGGGAGTACAGAAGGCAATGGGGAAAATATTTCCCCTAAATACTGTTTCAGAAATGTTTAGCCAATAATTTATAAAAATGTTTATTATCTAATTATGTAGAAAGCTTCTTTCACGCACAGAAGGTGAGATACCTGCTTTATTATCTGTGACTATGTAATTGAAAGGAACAATGTGTCTTCTAAACAGAAGTTTTACATAATTCTAATAACTCATGTGTTCCCATATTAGAGGGTTAGACTATAACTTGTATAAATGCAAACAGTGTCAGATTTTGTTCTCAAGGACCTGAAAAAACTATAAAGAATAAAACCACTGGGAGCCAAAATGAGACATTCCCAAAATAGAAAGGAAGCACTTTGAAGCTGCATGTATATACAAAATAAAGAGAGGAGAAATATTTCCGAAAGTATTTCATCAAGTATTTACAGAGATATGGATAGGATGAGAACACCAAGTAAAAGAAATCATGAGCCTGAAGGGTCACATACAGTACTATGAGGCCTTCAGGAACCTGGCTCCTTGCACAAACAACATGCCTTGACACAAGGCCATGACATAAAGACCATGGATCGCTCTCCTCATTTACAAAATGAAGGACTTAGAATAGGTGGTTTTTAAATTCCTTCTAGCCCTACTTTAGCATTTTAATCCATGTGGCCCTTGCACATAGAGATGAGCATATAAAGATTCTCAAAAAACATTTGTTGAATTAATGAAACATTACAACCTTACTACTAATAAGAAAAGAGACTTTACAACAATTGGTCCTGGCCTGTGGCCTACAAAGAATAAATTAGGAGAGCAACCATTACCTAAACAGCTTCACATCTGGTGCTCCTTCTAGCTGACTGCTGATAGAATGAAAATAACCCTGGACTTGGAAATAAGACACTTGGGTCTAGTCTCATCCCTGACACAAACCAACTGTGTGACCTTGGGCAAATGGCTTTACCACCTGGGCCAGTTTCCTCATCTCTAAAATAAAGGTATTATAAAGCTATATATAGCTAACATTTGTGGAACCTTTACTATATGCCAGGAACTGTTCCAAGATCTTTGCCTTAAATTTAAATAATCTCAAAGGTTTTTTGCAGCTCTAACATTTAGTCTGACTACAGAGAAAAAACATGGTATAATGGAAAGATTCCAAACTCTGTACTCAGAAACGTCAGGCTCCCTCTCTCTGTCGGGTGGCGTCTTTTTTTAAGCAGTGACTGTTGGAAGACTGGGTTGCAATCTGAGGACTTCTTGTCCCTAGATGAGTTAATTTGGACAGGTTGCTTAACTAAAACTTTGTTTTCTAATATGTGAAAAGCATGTAAAATGGTTATGTCTCTCATGTAGCTTTTGAGTTATAGTTATAAGTTATAATTGTAACTATATTATAGTAACTATATAATAGTAACTATATAACTATATTATAGTAACTATATAACTATATTATAGTAACTATATAATACTATATAATAGTAACTATATAATACTAACTATATAATAGTAATGTATATTATTATAGTATTATATATAATAGTATTATATAGTATAATAGTATATAATAGTATTTTATATAATAGTATATTACATATATATTATATATTATAGTAATATACATATTATTATAGTAACTATATAACAGTAACTATATTATAGTAACTGTATAACAGTAACTATATAATAGTAACTATATTATAGTAACTATATAACTAACTATATTACAGTAGCTATATAACAGTAACTATATAATAGTAACTATGTAATAGTAACTATATTATAGTAACTATATAATAGTAATTATATAATATAACTGATATATTACAGTTATATATAGTTATATATAATATATAATATAGCTATAAAAATTAACTGTAATTTATATTAATAAATACATATTTATTTTATTACTGGGTGTGTGACCGTGGACAAATCACCTTCTGAAGGTTTTTCCTTATCTACTGATGGGAGAGGTAGTGTTATGAAAAGAAGTAATGTAAACATTCTGTAAATTGAAAAAAAAAACAACAAACAAAAAAACATTCTGTAATTTGTCGAGTGTTAGCTGTGTTTGAAAACATGCATATTCCCTAATACTTGGAAAAGCGTATACAGTACTCTCCTAAGGCTTGTAACAGCATACACAATCAATGACAACGGCGACAACAATAATCAAAGACATCTTTACAAGACACATCTCTCCAGTCCCCCAACAACAACAAAGGACAGCTTTTCCTAAGCATCTCTCTAATCCCCGCTCGCCGCAGGTGGACACAGCGGCTGGCCCTCAAGAACGCAAGGCCACATGGAAGTTGTAGTTCCGAATCGCACAGCGGACCCCCAGAACGGCTGGAAGTGAGACTTCATCTCCCAGGAGACACCTCGCCGCACCAAATGGCACGCTGGGAGATGTTGCGCCAACCTGCCGGGAAACGAGCAGCGGGACTCCAACTCCCAGAAGCCTCCGCTCCTCAGGCCGCGGGCGGTAAGATGGAGCCGGAGAGGGAGGTTTCAGGTACACCACCTGCCTAACAGGTGCGAGTAGGGGCCTTTCTCAGTAGCCCCAGGCCCAGCACGGGGCAGCGCCTTTCTACAACCACCACTGGGATGGATCATTCTCTGCCGGCCCCCAGCCCATTTCTTGAGAGATCCGTAAAAATAAAGTAGCAAGCTTGCAAAGGGGCCGACTTTCGCTTCCGGCTCCAGCCAGCATCCTTGGGCCACTTGGGCAGAGACCTTTAAGCTCTTTTTTTTCCCCCCCAAGATAAAACACCATGAGTGGCTGGTCCGAGGTCCAACACAAGGAGGAGCATTTCGATCCTGGAGAGGAGCCTCCAACTTCGGTTCCCCTCCCCCCTCCCCCGGCCCCACACGGACAGACCTTTAAAAATCCCCGCATATTTTTATACAAAAACTATATTCATCCATAAATAGTCCAAACGGGTGGTCATGGAGTTCCCCCACCGTAAAGAATTCAGTGCGGTGGCCAACTACACCGCCAGCCAGGCACGGCTGCTGGGCGTCCCTGGAACCCCGCTGGCATGACCCCGTGCCTCAGTTTACCCTCTTACGCAGCACAGGAGGGGCGGGCTAGGGTTAGGGCTGGTGGTCCGAATGGGTCCTCGGGACAGACGCCCCCCACCCCCTGCACACACACCCTCACCCTCTAGGAGCTGTGCGAGCCAGTCCCCGCCCCATGGGACCACGGTGGGGCGGGGGTGGGGGGGGTGTAAGGACCAGACGCGCCTGGAAACCAAGACCCGCACCCCAGAAACACTCTTCGACTGGGGCTTGCCCCTGCCCCTACCTTCCAAGATCTTGGCAGCTGGGAAGTGAAAGGCAGAGGGAGGGAGCGCGGGGCAGGAGCGGCGCCTGGGCGTGTGCCCACTGGGGTGGCCACCTGAGGGACCCGGGAACTGGAGGGCAAAAAGTCCCACGACGGGACGGAGCGGAAGGCGGACTACAATTCCCAGGTGGCGCCGCGGTGGCGAGGGGGCGGGACCTAAGATGGCCGTGGGCTTGAGGACAGAAGCGAGGGCCAATAGGCATAAAGTATGCGCCTAAGCCGGGCCAATCAGAAGCTATAATGACAGTGACGCTGAATAAGGGGTGCAAAACATCGTTTCTCCAAGGGAAGCAGCTGGGGTGAGAAAATCTTTGGAAAGGGGTTTTTGTCATGAACTTCACAATCTCGTTTTTTCGAAATGGCAAGAGAAATAAGATTCTTCAGGCTATGCTGCTTTTTTTTCTTCTCCTCCTTATTTCCTCCCAAACGTGTTGAGCTTCCCCCGCCCCACTACTCCTCCCTGGCTGGATTTTCTTGCACTTCCTCTACTCAATCTGGACCATTCTTGAACATTCTTGAATCCTAAAGCCTTCTTTTCTTTATGTTTCTCTTATAACACGGGCTCGCAGTCTTTTACTTGATCCACTCTACGACTACACTCGGCCTTCCCTGGAGTCCTAACTAAAATTGCACCGCAAACACCCTCGTCCCCTTCCTTTATCTCTCTCTCTTTTTTTTTTTTTTTTTTTTTTTGGTGCTATTTTTCTTCTCAGCACTTTTACTTACCAAACACTGTATGTAATTCATTTATTCATTTTTTTTAAAGTCTTGTCCTCCAGAATGAAAGATCTATGCAGATGAAGATTTTTTTTTGTTCTGCTCGCTGCAATATGTCTAGCACCTAGAAGCATACAATATATATAGTAGGCACTCAGTAAATATACTTTGAATAATGGAATGAAATCTATAGAGTAGCCTTTGCTTTCTGTTCTCCCTTTTTTCGTTGCAGATCAATTAAATCCATCCCTGACAACCGTGGGGGGGGGGGGAGGGTCCTTGTGCTTGCTCCCTTTTCAAATTCAAAATCATTCTCATAATAGAGTCTAGGATGCTGGAGCCATCACTGAGTCAGATGCGGTTCTTAACTTCAAGATGCTCCTGGCCTAGAGGAGTATGAGAAGCAAACCTACTTTTGCAATAAATAAAATTGAAAATTGCAGAACGGCTAAATAATTGCACAAGGTCATGCAGCTCATGAGCAGGGATTAGAATCCTTCAGACTCTTGGTACTACACACCATGCTCCTTATAACAACCTCCCTCGGGATTGCCTGCTTCCCTTCTCTATCCTACCAATCCTAGTGCCAAGGAAGAAGATATATTCGTCAGTCATCTTTTACATTTAAGGAGAAACAAAGAGCAATTACACTTGGACAAACACTGAGATATGTCCCTACTTTCCCTGACACCGTTTCCCTTTTTCTTTTACTTTCTTTCTTTCTTTTTTTTTTTTTTTTAATGAAACAGCAAGAGTGAGCATGGAGCAGCAGAGGGAGAGGAGAGTAAGAATCTTTAGCAGGCTCCACACTCAGCACGTTGCCCAACACAGGGCTTATCTCACAGCCCTGAGATCATGACCTGAGCCAAAATCAAGAGTCAGATGCTTAACTGACTGAGCCACTCAGCTATCCCAATTTCCCTTACTTTTTTCATCATTTTTTTCTTTGGCCTGCTTCATTACATGCAGGTGATTACACCAAGTCTTAGATCTCTCATCCTTTCTGATGTTTGAACCCCACAGAGAGTAGCGAGGTGTCCTACAAAATGTCCTGGTGTGAAATACTGATGTCCCAGGAAGTTTGGCTCTTAGAGAATGTCACTGTGGATTATGGTCAATTTACAGGTCATCACACAGACACTCTGGCCACATAGAATACTAGAGAATTGTGAATAACCAGGTGAAATTGAAAACAGTCACAGATGAAACAGAAATGTGATCAATATGTACACAGACTAATTTTGTGCATAGAAATTAAGACCCCTGTTCAGGCTTCCTAGCCTAATCTTTTGTCAATTTGGGGTTGTTTCCTATAACACTACAGTTCTTTCTAGCTTTCATGAGCACAGACTCAGCTCAGCAGTACCAGCTTTTCTCAGGCTGAGTGGCATGAGAGATTTCAACATACGTGTCAGCAGCCAGACTAAATGTGGAAGGAATCATTTGAACCATATGAAAATGGAAAGCTCAACAACTAGACTCTTCTGAGACAGTATCAACTTATAGTCACTACATCTTCTACTAGCAATCAAAAGGAAAATGTCATGAATATACTCAGGATCTAAACAGTGGTATCTAATGATTATTAGACCACTGTTAGGCAGCCTAGTTTGAACATACATGTATAACTTCAGTTATGCGTGATGCTGTTTGCTGGGCTCAAGGTCAGCCATGACCTTCAGCAATACACATATACATACATAAGAAGCATCAACACGTGACACTCGCCTTGGACACGGGATATCCAAGTGCCAAGACAATCAGTGGGGGATGGCTGTCCGACCTGCAACTTGATTAATAATCATCAGGAGATGGTATCTTTGAGTTTTCCCAGGAGTATATCCTGAGATAGGTATTCAAGTGCAAGCCAGTAATTGCAGGAAACACCAGTAGAATAGGAAAGTGAAATAGGGAAGGGAAGACAGATAAAAAAGCATGTTACTACAAGAGGTGATTGAGCTTAATCCTCCTGAGGAACTCTAGGAAACAATGTAGAACACATGCCATAGACTGAGCTATCCCACCAAAGGGACAAAAGAACTCGGTTATTTAAATACTAATTCCCATTAGTCAGTAATTGGGACCATTTTCAGCAGCAGTTAAATACCTGGCTCTTTAGGCCTGCTGTATGAAAAGGCAAAGTTATCTCAGTGTCCAAAGAAAGCCAGAGATACAGGTGCTGCCACTGGAAGTCAGGCTGGTATATCCTGAAATGATAAGCAAGAGTGTCTGCTCCAGGTGGCTTTGGGTCACCATAAGCTCATAGTGCTGAGACTCGCAGAATAAGAATAATTCAAAACTTAAAACACCAAAACAAAACAAAAAAGCAATTTACTACCTTGTCTACTTCATCATGTGAATAATTAAGATAGATAGTACTTTCTAAATTCTCACTAACACACACAAACAAAACAAAATCTACAGCAACAAAGGCCTCTCACACTGGGAACTCTGGACACTTCAGGAGAGGCTCCGGTGGCACTGGGGTTTAGTAGAGAGGGGAGGAAAGACATCAAGAAAAATAGAAAATTGAATGTAAAGAAATATTGTTGAAGACAAGATGTTACTTGTTTTTACAATATCGAAGAAACACAACTAAAGGGCTTCAGATCTTGGAGAAATTATCACTAAGTGCACATACTGGTCTTTAGACCTAAAAGACAGTTTTGTGAAAGACATTTATGTGTTATGCTATTAGAGCTTAGTAAGTAGCTTTACTTGATGTTAGTCACCATTTGTGTGTCTTTCTCTCTATCATCTATCTCCTCCAAATAAAATGTAACCTCCACGAAGGCAAGAACTTCATTTATGCCTACTCAATTGTAGACAATAAATACAAAGCAAATAGGGTAAATAGTAGAAGGGTCTGACATTGTACTACTCATTACATTCAGCTAAGCCATGAAGTAAAGAGACAAAAGTGACCCTGCAAAAACCTCCCATGATCACAGAGCTTAAGATTATCCTAAAGTGTGGAAAGCCTGATGGTCACATACTCTTCTACTTAAATTAAACATTCTCAATATCATCCTCTCCAAGCACACAGGACCTCCAGGAAAATCTTTACCATGGAAATAGAATTGCAAAAATGGAAAGGCATTTGAGGTCAAAGAGTTCAACTCCCTGCATAATTCATCTCAGCTGCTTATTACAGGTCATAATCTAGAAATTGGGGATATTTATTTAACTGGAAAAATCATCTCTAACAGGAAAACATTGTATTGGAAAAAATGATGCATTATATCTGTAATACAAAGCATTAAAAGGTTGGGAAACTCAGCTGTACCCAGATGCTCACGTCTCCTTAACAAATTTCTCAGCCCATAATCATTCAGCTTTTTGGCTGTTATTGAAGAAATCTGGTTATTAATAAGAACCATCTCGTGATATGCTGAAAATTCTCTAGATTTTTCCCTATCTTTTTTTACTCTCTGCTCTTACTTATCCCTTTGTTGTTCTGTGTTAAATATATTCCTTGGGTGGATTTGTTCATCAGATATTTAGAGATTGGTCTATTCCCTATAGTTAGTGAACATATGCATGCTGTCTCCTTTTAACTATGCCTCATAAATAATCACACTTAATCCTTCTTACTGCCATCTTTTGCAATCATCTTCCAGTTACCTAGAACATACGGTGCATGAAACTAAGCTCAGTGTCCAAGCTGTGATCTCACTAGGGTGGCTCAAAGATAAGCTATGATTTTTCATCACTCTCTTTCAAGAAATTATGCCTCTACACACATTACCCTGGTTTCACTGCAGCTTTAAAGACATTTCATCATTCTCGGGAAAAAAAACCCTTTAAAAAACATTTCCTAAAAATTAAAAAGTATATTTCTTTAGTAAAAGACTTAGTGCAGAATAGGATGCACCTTGACTTCAGATCAGTTTTTCATTTATTTAAGGTTACTCAGGGGCCAGCCACCATGCACTGGGCTGGGATGCACTGATGAATCATATAAAATCCCTGAGACTGTACAGTAATAGAAATCATAAACCAGTAAACACGTGAACAAATCTATGTGATGCTTTAGAAGTTGATACCATAATGAGTCAATTCTGCTACCTACAGTGGAGGAAAAAGGGAGTTCTAGGGAGAAGCAACAGCACGTGACAAGTGCCAGCACTCAGAGAGGGTAGATTCATCCATCCCCAATCTACAGTAGAAGTAGGGCAGTGTCCTAAGGGCCAGCTCAGGATGGTTTCACAAGCACACTTCTTAGTTTGCTAAAGGGCAATTGAGAGCTTTGTAACTATTAAATGAATTGCTCGATTTTAAGGCAAACAGAAAATGCTTTTAAAAATTATTTATTGAGCACC